TATCTACGTGATTTGTTATCAAGTATTCTAGAAAAAGACATGTGTCCTTCATATTTGCCTTTTGTCCAGTTTAGTTTCATTTCGATATATATACTAGGTCCTATATCATTGGTAAGGGAAAAAGGACAAAGTTATATGCAATAGTTATTTTTAAAAAAGAAATAAAGAAAAGAAAAAATGGGAGTATGGGAGTTAAGGAAACGACTTCAAAGTTAATTTACCAAAATCCAACCACATCCTTGACCTACGCAGACCCCAATAAGGTATTAATTACAAAAGGATTAACACTTCTGTCCATTGTAACAATGGAGTCCTCTGTCAATGGGAGATGATAACAATATTTGCATTCATCCATTAGCTGGGATTCACAGATTATGAGAAAGGTCCTAACACTCTTCCTAAATGAAGTTAAGCAACCCCAATGAAAGGAAAGAGCTCCTTTCATAGTCAAAAAGGACTTGGACAATTTTGAAAAATCCCAGCAACACCTTACGCAGTGCTCTGCCCAAGGCTCTGCCCAAAGCATTATGAATGTGTTGACTGGCAGTATTTATCCTACTTGCATCCAACTGGCTACACTGTCAGCAACTGATTCCAAGGATATTGGACAAGAGACTATTTCCTTGTTCTGCCGCACTAGGTACTCAGCCTTCCCCTTTTCTTCTGCCCACTCGCATGACTGTCAAATTTCAGAGCGGATGCCATGACTCAGTGAGAGAATATAAATACCATTTCTTCCCTCAATGAATCAACATGGTACAGCCATGCTGGAAAAGCGAACACCATTACTACAGTACATTTTACTTATAAACGTCTGAGTTATTGTTTCTTAACTGAATTCTGACACCAACTCTACCGCCTACCCCTTGCGATAAGATTTTGTACTTTTTGTTGGAATGACGTGACTCTTTTAAAAATGTAGCAAAGGCAAGGATACTTGGTCCGGGGAAAGACAAAAGGGATTTGTGAATAGTATACACACCCTCAGAGGAATTTTTCTTGCTCTTTCAAGTTTGTCTTCCCCTCTAGGTCAAGTCAGTAACGCTGCCAAAGTCTTTATGGGCATAAGGAAGCCTTTCACATGCTTATAACCTTGAAAGATGAATGGAAAACCATCTAAGACCTTTCCTTACATGTTCGTTTTTCCTCCATGCAACGGACGTCTGGTTGGAAATAAAGCAGAGCTGACAAAAGTGCGAAATTCCGCCACACGTCCGCCACGATTTCAACCAGGCATGTCTTCTTCACACACCCTGAGGTCGGCGCTCTCTGGCAACAGAAAGGGATGTGGCAGCATCGTCTCACAACTTGGTGTGGTAGGCAGAGTTCTAAGCTGGCCCCCTTGGTCTTCATCCCCTTGCGCGACACCCATGGTTATGTTGTGTTACATGGAGAAAGAGACTGTGCAGATGTAATTAAGGTTACTAATCAGCTGACCTTGAATTCCTCAAAAGGGAGATTGTGTGGGAAAGCCTCAGCTAATCAAATGAGACCTTTAAACACTGTGTTTCTCCAGCTGGCGGCGGTAGAAGAAGACAGATCAGGAGAAGGGGAGGCATTCAACAAGAGGGTATCTCTTCGTTGCTGACATGGCAGGAACCGTGGAGCAAAGACCTGAGGGTGTCCTGTAGGGGTGGGGAGTGGGCCCCGCCAGCAGCCGGCAAGAAAACAAGGACTTCACTCCTGCAGCCACAGGAGCCTGGATTCCGCCAATAATCTGAATGAGCTTGGAAGCACTCTTTCCAGAACCTCTAGCTTAAGCCCACTGACCCTCTGATTTTCGTGTTATGAGAACCTAAACAGAGAACCCAGTTGTACCTGACCCACAGAACTATGAGATGCTAAATGGGTGGTGTTCAACATTCTTTAATCTATGGTGATTTATAACAAAGCAATAGAAAATGAACACACGTGGGGCACCTGGGGGCTCAGTCGGTTAAGCATCCGACTTCGGCTCAGACCAGGATCTCACGCTCTGTGGGTTCGAGCCCCGCATCAGTCTCTGTGCTGACCGCTCAGAGTCTGGAGCCTGCTTTGGAATCTGTGTCTCCCTCTTTGCCCCTCCTCTGCTCACGCACGCACTCTCTCTCTCTCTCAAAAATAAATAAATATGAAAGGAAAAAAGAAGAAGAAAAAGAAAAAGAACACACTTGGTATTCACTGAGATTGGGTCCCCAAGCTTTCTCCGTTGTTCTTCAGCTCCAAGTCTCCTTTCCAAACAAAATGTATTTATTGGTTCCTAAACATACCTTTTGCTTTCTCCCACTCAGCCTTTACACACATTAATTTGCCGTGCTGGAAGGCCCCTTTTCTGTTTAGCCAAGGCCTTTGAGACCAACTCCTAGCTTATCACCTGCAGGAAAGGAGCCTGACACAATTTTCTCTCCAAAATCAAATAATCTTCACCTGTATAATTCAATTGACATTCAATCGTGCCCTGCTTTGTGGCACCTTTTCTTACGTGCTCCATATTTTTATTTTATTACTACTTATTTTCTTGTTAATTAGATAGTAAGGCTCTTGAAAGCAAGCGCTCCTAATTTTCATGCCCCACTCTACTAATGCAACCCTCGCACATCATAGGCACCCAATAAATACTTGTTCGTTTGTTTTGTTCTAAAGTATCTCTCTTCAATCTTAATGAGATTAAATGACACCAGAAGTCCCAAGAAAACCTCATTAGCCAAGCAATGGGGATCTCAGCAGTGACCTGCCCCACATTCTGGTTGGCCTTTCACTACCGTGAACCCTAAACACACTTAAGCTGTCAAAATTAAAAACGTAACTGCAAAAACAAGATAATCGCAGAAAGTAATTTTTGCCAATTGATTTGTGTGACTTTCAATGACATTGTAAGCTTCCAACTATTCCCTGAGCTGCCAATTTGCATAGAAAGGGATGCTTTCTCTACGGACCATATTTACCACGAATACACTATCCGCACGAATGTGCAAGAGGGAGAAAGGCCGGCAGAAAATATAAAGAGGGTTGAAGTGAATGTTGTTAACAATTAAGAATGATCAACATAGCAGGCATGAAGAAGCAAAGGCCGGAAGTTACCCGTGGTGTTGCAAGCCATGTAGATTTGGTTTAATCCCTTGAAATACAAATAGGGTTTAAAATCCCAGCTAAGACAGTCACTAAACTAAATGAACCTATTTTAAAGTTTCAAGGGAAAGCAACAAGAATGCAATTTGGGAAAATAATGACAGTCAACGTCGTCATACTCCAGTGCCTTCTTCCTCCGTGATGTTACCGTCCAACCCAGAGCAACATGTCGCTGCATAACCGTTTGAAAATCAAACTCAGACTTTAAAAATATCACTATCTGTTTATTTTTGTTCCTCAAAGGAAAAATGTAAAATAAAAATCAATTTTACCTGTATTTTTCTGTGTTCTCTATTATACAGAATCCTAGAACCGGAGGCCTGGCTGAGACCCTGACAGGCTATTTTGTTTATTCTTCGGCATTAGGCAGGCCCACGCTTAATCCTTCCTTGATAGGAAAATCTCTTTCGTTTCTAAAGACTTTCAGAGGAGATTTCTTATACTCTCTCTAACCCACTAAGGTAGTTAATAACTTTTCTTATTATCTAGCCTAAATCCTTCACACTATGCTTAAGACTCATTTTTTTCTTGTCTAACTATTCACTAGAGGCAAGGGGAAAAATTTATCACTCTCTTTCATATAAGAAATACTCATATACTGATAATAATTATAGAGTCGGCTCTGCGATCTCATAATGAAAGAGTCCAAATGTATTATGGTTCTCTGCTAAATGTTCTGCCACGTCACCTACCTTCCTTTATCTACAAACCTCAAAAATGGGAGCTGACCCCTGTTAAGGATTTAATTACCTGGTACCGAAGTCCTTGGTACTTCTTGTTACATGTTCGACATCTGTCTGGGGCCATATCTCAGGAATATAGGATGACATAAATCAGACTAGGCTTCCCTGACTCCTGCAAATAATGTTATGAAGATAATCCAGTTGGAAGGAGTATTGAGGGCAGCCATGAAATGTGAAAATAAGTCACAGAAAGGTTGTCTATATAGAAAAAGAAGACTAAAAGAAAATATATCACAATGCCAATAGCAGCTATCCCTGGATAATGGTAGCATTGTGTGCATGTGTGTTTTCTCTTTCATTATACTTTCCTATATTCTCCAAACCTCTTATTATGTATTAATTTTTAATGAGAAAAGAATAAATAGTGTGTGTGTGTGTGTGTGTGTGTGTGTGTGTGTGTGTGTTGGAAGGGGCAAGGAGGAGCTGCCATTGGGGTTATACAGGAGTGAGATGGTGGGTGACTAACCATCCCAATTTCCACACTGAAAGCCCTAAAGCGGAGAAGATCCCTCAGTCCCAAGCAAACATGGATGGTTGGTCACCAGAGAGGAAACCAGGTCTGGGGATGTTGCAGATGCTGCCCATGTGGGAGTAATACCGGAGCCACTATTCTTCCTACCAACTGGAAACCAATCACCTCTGCCTGATGAACTGCTCTGGATCCTTAAATTTGGAGGGCCAAACAACCACCCCCTCCCCCACTCCATGTAAAGGTAAGAGTAACTCTGTGTTGGAACCGTGTTTTCTTTTTCATCTATAGAGCCACTCTGCCAACTCAGGTCAAGGTAATAAAGCCATTTGATATCAAATCAGAACAGAAAAGTATAGACTTATTTGCTTTGCTTTCCCCAAAGTAGCAAGACCTCTTGCTACTCAGGTCTTAGGAACTCAGAAATGCCAGGAGCACACCTTTCGGAGCCAACTGAAAGACACAGATGTGGCTTCAGGACGGCACATTGACTCCAGTCCGTACCAGTTTCGACTCACGAGCCAGCTTTGAGTGAAACGGTGCAGGAGAAACACAGTGCTGAGTCTCCACCCTGGTCAGAACCACCCTCCCCTCCATCAGGAGCCCACTGTCAGTCTCGTGGCCTAAGCTGTGGCGAAGCGTGTTTGTTTCCAAAATGGTTGTGGGATAATGTAGATCCCTAGGAGACGGTTCAACAGTTTTTAAGAGCAAGCTTTCAAGCGGGGCCCACGTAGCTCACAGCAAATCCACAGACAACTCTTAACCTCCAAGCCTCCATCTATCCCTCCTCATAGCAGTAATAATCGCGTTCTCTGCCTCAAAGATAATGCACGCAATATGCCTAGAACAGGGTGCAGCCTATCGTGAGCATATGCATGCATATATACACGCACCCATTTATGTACCAGCAGGAAGGGAATCTTCATTCCAGTCTTCCTTAACAAAACGTCAGCCTCAACCATTCATTAAATATTTACTGAAGGGTCACTAAGGGCCAGATTGGGCTAAATATCCAAATGCAAGATGAATAAGGTGTGGCCTCTGTCCTCAAGGAGTTTATAGTCCAGTTCAGGCCACAGATGGAAGCAGGTAACTTCAGCACCTCCCGGTCTGTGCTCTGAGAATTCTCCAAGTAACAAAGCATGTGGGTGGTGAGTGCTGAAAAGAGAAGCTTTCACAGAGGAGAGCTTTGTTAGCACCAAATCCTTCAAACGATATGTTTTTACATTTTTTTTTATTTTAAAAGTATACGACTTCACTGTTCAAAAATTAAAACCACACAGGCAAAAAGAGAAAAAATTAATTAAAAGCGTTTGGGACCCCAGTGCCAAGAGATAAACAACTTTTAAATGTATTCTTGGTGATACATACTATTTCGTGATCTGACTTTTTTCACTTAAAAATATAGCACGAGCATATTTCTATATCAAAACATATAAAAATAGGGGTGCCTGGGGAGCTCAGTGAGCTAAGCATCCGACTCTTGATTTTTGGTTTAAGTTCATGGGATCGAGCCCCGTGGACAGTGTGGACGGTGCAGAGCCTGCTTGGGGTTCTTTCTCTCCCTCTCTCTCTTCCTCTCCCCTTGCACTCTCTCTCCCTCTCAAAAATATATAAACAAATATTTTTTAAAACATATAAAGATAAAGTACAACTTTTAAAAAGGCTGCTTAGTACCCTACTATAAGTGCCTATGTCATTTTCTTTTTAGCCAACCCCTCTCATGATTTCCAAACAAGTTATCCTGGGTATTCTCATTCAATGGGAACTTGAAAATTTAAGAGGAGGAATGGCTTGATATAATTGTGAAGAAACAACCCGAGCAGCTTGGAAGCTGGATTTCAACAAAAAAGAATTCCAAGGGCACCAATATTCCAGCTGGAGTCGAAGAGGGCCTGAATTAAGGCTGCAGTGGGCAGACAGGGAAGGACCCAGCCTAGGGATCCATGAGTGTGAAGTCATAAGCTGACAGTGGGGGACTAAGGCAGGTGCTTTGATGGGGACCTTATCTCCCAGACGCTTATTAACCAATAGACTGAACCCAAGAACTGTGTGTTGGAAGGAAATGTGAATATTATTAATTTCTTTCGGGACACATTGAGGTCAAAGGGCATATGAAATGCTGGCGTGAGGATTATCAATCACCAAATTGATAGCTCCAGATTATATCCAGGATGGAGAACAGCTTTGGAAATTTCCAGCATGATGACCGCAGTGAGGTCTTGACATGGAGAAGATGATCCAGGAAAGCCGTGTTAGTGTGCAGGACCATAGGTGAGGACAGATGTGTGAGGAAGTCTATAAGAGGCGTCAGCCACAAAGTCTGAGAGGAGAGGTGTGCATGAGGAGAAGAGTCTCTGGAAAAGAGTCTTGGGGGAAGAAAGTCTTATTTCTGTGACAGTCCCGTGCTGCTGGATCACAGGGAAAATCCCCTGGGACTTGTTAGCTCTTCTGTGGACATGCCCTTCCCCTGGGGTGCAGCCATTTTCAATGACTTCGTAATAAATGTTAGGACCTTACCGAAGGCCCTCGGTGGTGTTTCAGGCTTAGCTATTTTGATTGAGCAGTAAAATACCCTAGAGGAGAATCTCTCAAACTCTGCTAGAACACACTCATAAAAAATGGGGGGGAAGACTTTTACAGTCACATAAATTTGAGAACACGAAGTAAGCATTTAAATGGGATTCTTCACTACAGGACTTCTCAGAGGCTTCAATATGCTCATGGTAATTGTGCTTCTCCCAGAAAGAAATGTGGTGGATGGCATCTTCCAAACTTCTGTAACCACAGAATTCTTTCCACATGGAACACGTCCTAACAACTCCCCGAGATCACCCGTGTTCCAAAAAGGCAGTGTAGGAAATGCCGACCAAGGGGAATGCCATGCAGATACCACACACAACCCCAAACTCAATTATGTGCAATAACAAAACTAAAGCAGCTAATTTACTTTGTGTGCAACAAAATGGGTCAAATACCACACGGGGGGGGGGGGGGGGGCGGTAAGCTTTAAAGGCAAGGAATCTCTTAGTGCCATATTTCATTAGCTCTGAGAGTCACGTTTCGTTTTACATGTTTACGTCTCCGAAATCCAAAATCGGGACGTGTCTCAGAGTCGGTGTCTGACCGTCTGTGTCTGTCCTGTGACAATCTTGACAGAGTTCTCATTGACCAAGCATCACCAAACATCAGCAACTTGGAGAAGAATTCTCGGGAAATGAGAAATGCACTTTTGTAAAAGAGCACGCAGTCAAGTGTTCGTGGGGGGGGGGGGGGGGGCGGGCCGGCGGGGGTACTAAATGGTCATCGTACCATGGTACTAAATGGTACTGACCTGGGAGTCAAAGCAGGCTTGTACTACTTAACAACAGAGCTGGCTAAAATATTCTGCAGCAATGGCTTTTAGTTATCTCATGGATTCTTTAAGAAACGATGCGTCGTCGGCATCTTCAAAGGCACAGATAATACCCGCAAACGTGGACGGCAATGACAATAAATGAGAAGTGACACAGGAGACCAGGACTCTGGAGGTGAAGAAGCTTTAGGGACACCTCAACCGACTTACTTCCCTTATATCTTCCTTTTTTTTCTGTCGACAAAAGAGTGACGGATGACAAAGTCCCATGTCTACGCTCCAAGGGCTCTGTGAGTATTAAAGAAATTCTAAGTGATGAGAGAGCATGGCATCATAGTTTAATGGGCAGTGATTTTTCCTTCTTAGTGGTATATAAAATAACAGGCCATTTAAAAGCAATTGTGACTTAGAATTAATGAAATGGATAACTGCCTTTTAATAAATTATTTTAGCCAATTCTTTCTCTCTAAAGCATTTTGCGTTTTATTCTTAAATGGCTAGACTTCCCAAGGAAATTCTACCTTTAGAGTGAAATTTTGAGACCTGGCCCCTGGTGATCTTACTTTTGAGGGTTTCAGAGGTGTCTGTCTCCTCTTCCTGGAAATCTCAAGCAGACCTCCTCTCTTTTATTAGGCTTCTGCCTCTGAGCCATCCTGGAGGACAAGGCTTTGTACTAGACCAATTCTCTGGAGACAGCCCAGCTTCCTCTTTGAAGTTTTTGTTTTCCTCTGCGATCCTCTTTTTACAGCTGGAGCCAGTGGCGATGTCATTCGGGCCCAGCTGATCTCAGTTAAACCCTGCGTGTGAAGCAGGGTGTAGGGGAGAGCTCTCACTGCGCCCCTCTTCATGGGAATCTCTGTGAAATGAAGGACTGGGATAAGACATTCTCTGGGCCCCTACAGCATTCTACGATTCACGTTGATTTCTCAGAAAGACCAAACGTATTGTTGACATGTCAATTTGCATTTTATACAAAACAAGCATCTTATATTTACAATTAACCGTTGTGCCTTGATAAGCAGATACGGTTCTGGACAAGTCTCATAGCGTAGTGCCAAAGGCGGAACATATTACAAATTAACATTGTTCAAACAGTCACGTTTACCAGCACCTCTCTGAGTTATTTGACTACTGTGCTTTAAAATTATGTTTGTTTTCTGAGGAGCCTGGGTGGCTCAGTCGGTTAAGCGTCCAGCTCTTGATTTCAGCTCAGGTCATGATCTCACGGTTCAGGAGATCGAGCCCCACATTGGGCTCTGTGTTGACTACATGGAGCCTCCTTGGGATTCTCTCTCTCTCCTTCTCTCTCTCTCTGCCCCTCTTCTGCTTGTGCACACACGCTTTCGCACTCCCTCACTCGCTCTCTCAATAAAATTAATAAATAATAAAATAAATAAAATAAAATAAAATAGAATTTTCTCTCACCTTGAAAGTAACCAGAGTGCTGGTTTGTAACAAGAATCAAGGGTCAGACACTTGCCCAACTGAGCCACCCAGGTGGCTAAAGATAATCATTTCTAAGTTGAGATGGGCAGTTATAATGAACTTAACTACTAATGTGATCTACAGTCACTAGCCTACAAGGCTGTAAGTTCAAGTTCACGTCCCTCTGGTTCACTATGGTGTCTGTAGCACAGAACACGGTGCAATTATGTAGCAAGTACTCAACGCCTATATACTGAATAAATCAATGAATGACTCAGCAGCACTGAGAAACAGGAAATGGGGGCAAAATGAATTCTTAAGTGCCAAACACATGTGTGCGTTGTAAACCACTACAAGCAAGTACAGATGATTTAGTGAGACTAATCTTCCTTCTAAATTTTCTTCACTCCAGGATATAGTCCAGAAACGTAGTAACAGCATGCGTTGTTATTGGTCTTAGGTAGACGAGTGACGGATATTGCAATTTGTGGGATTACTCGTGATATACCTGCACACTCATTTTCTTAACCACTAATTATACACCGGACAGCTTCAGTTGTAACAAAAAGGGAACCCTAATCTGTAGGGTCGAATTGGTCTTTTGGTTTTGGGTTTTTGTTTTTGTTTTTGTTCTTTAGTTTTTTGTTCTGAAGGTGAAGAAAACATTGGATGGAGAGATGGGCCTCTGAACACCAGAACTGACACTCTCTCTCTAAAAAAAAAAAAAAAAAAAAAAGTGGGGGGCACACCAGGGTGGCTCGGTTAAGCGTCCGACTTCGACTCAGGTCATGATCTCGCGGTTTGTGGGTTTGAGCCCCACATGGGGCTGTCTGCTGACATCATGGAGCCTGGATCTTCTGCCTTCCTCTCTCTCTGTCCCTCCCCTGCTCATGCTCTGTGTGTGTGTGTGTGTCTCTCTCTCTCAAATATAAGTAAACATTTAAAAATAATTAAAAATAAATAAATAAATAAATAAATAAATATAAAAATAAATTTAAAAAGTGTAAGTGGCTTCCCAAACTCTAATGAAAGATGTTCTTTGGTAGCAGAACGTTTACTCTGGGGAGGGAATCAGCTGAAGTCCTTGCGAGTTTTATCTGACAAGAACAGCTGAGCTCTCACGTTTGATACTGAGATGCACTCACAGAGCCTCTCCCCAGCCCCTGGAAGTTGGTCAGGAGACCAGAAGGCTGCTCTGAGGCACCTGTCCCCTGGAGAGCAGACGGGAAGGAGTCAGAGAGCAAAACGGCTCAGATCCTGCTGGGGGGGCGACAAATGGAGCGGGAAGGTGCCGGCACTGTTGAAGCACTCCGCAAGAAAAGAGGACGTTGCAGGTGATGAACCCAGTACCTTTCATTATTTGGGGACTCCAAGGCAAAACACCACTGGTGGGACGCATGGGGGTGCTCAGTCGGTTAAGCACCCAACTCTTGATTTCGACTCCGGTCATAATCTCCGGTTCATGAGATCCAGCCCCAGGTCAGGCTCTGCCCTGATAGTGTGGAGCCTGCTTGGGATTCTCTCTCTCTCTCTCTCTCTCTCTCTCTCTCTCTGGACCTCCCACCCCCCCTCTTGCTCTCTCTCTCTCTCTCTCTCTCAAAATAAATTAAAAAAAATCACACACACTAGCATTTTTTTCAGGGACTTGTTTATTCCCAGTTTTATATGTCTTGGAAAGGGAAGAACAAGCAAAAATTACTTAATATTGCAGGTGGACATTCATTTCCTTACTACCTTCCCTGACCAGTTTGATGAAATCCCGGAATTCTTATAAAAGTGATTGTTCTCCTGAAATTCATCCACTGAACTAATCTGGAAATTCTGTCAGAACAAGCTCCTTCTCATATGTCAGCATCTCTGTGTATTTCCATCCTCAAAAATAAAAATGTTGGTGTGTAGAAAAACAAAGAAAAGAAACCGAGGGCTGGTGAGTGGTGGAGAAGGCTATTCTGGTATTTTTCAAACGTGAAAAAAATTATTGGAATCCGGGAAAGTAGCATCTATCGCAACAACAGAAATGTGCACCTTAGGTCTATGCTATTTTGATTCTTTGCATTGCACCAAACACCAGCTATTAATAAGAACCACTCTCTAGAATTTTTTGTCAGGTTGCATGATTTAGCTGATAGTATATAACTAAATACTGTAGGGCTGAGTGATAAAATGTAATATGATGCTAATTACTCAAACCACCTCCATATATCAGAGAGGTACATATTGAATGCATGCATACTCAGGATCCTAAAAGCAGCGGCACAATTTTTAAAGTTATTTGGCGAAACCGGAGAGAGGCAGAAATAAAGCTTCATTTCATCCAACAACTGAGGCTAACAGTTTTCCCAAGGGAAAGAAAATGCAACTGCTGCATGGGTCACAAAAGTTTGGAATATCTACCTTCACCACGATCTTCCCATTCTTTCATGGAGGAAAGTCAGATAGGACGAGACACTGGCAAGGGGCGTGATTACATTATTCTCCATACATGTGCCGACTTTCCACTGTGCCTTCCTCTCTTCTGGATAATGTGGCCCAGACAGGTCGCACCCCATGTTATGCTGAGGGCTGGAGGGAAAGGCTTAACTGATGGCCGCAGACCTGGGCAACTGTCCTTTGTAAACTCATCTCTGGGACTTCCCCCACAGGAGACACGGGGTATGGCCAACTGAGGGAGAGGCTGGAACAGAACACATGCTGAGTGGAAACGCGGCATGCTTGTCTGTTTGAGCCTCGTCTCCATAGTAAAGATGAGGTAACGGTTCAAACTCCTCCCTGAGGAACCTAGGGTGCACACCAACCAGTCTGAGCTAGAATAAGTCAAACGGGAAGACCTTGCCAATTCCGAAGGGCCCGGGGTTTTCTAGACGTAGCATCAAGCGCTTGCCTCCTACAGAGTTTCGAAGAAATTGGTAGTCATGGGGCTAACATTAGTTCATCAAATTGGAAGCAGCAAAATCAAGAAACAAGTCAGAGAAGAAGTTGACAATATCCAGAGCTTAACTCTATCCCAGTGCAGAGATTTCTTTCTCCACTTCCAAAGAATCATAGCTATACCGTATATATATTATTACATATAGACTACATTTATATACATAGTATATACAATATAACATGTATATATTATATATATATATATAATATGTATATGCACAATGTAATTTGATAAGTTCTCCAAGTACACAAATAAATTATACCACCGAAATAAACCCTATCTGGGTGTACCCACCATGAGGAAAAGAATACTAATCCCTGATGAAACAGCATTCTTTGAGTCAGCAATAATCATTCTGTCGACCAAAGTGACAATAAAAGAAAAATAAAAGTCCAAACTGGCAATTATATTTATATATATTGTTATTATATATTAAATACATAATAATGCCTTTAGGTAGGCATGCCCAGAACAGCATGGGAAACCACCAGATATATGAATGGCAGCCACTTACCTCTCCTCTATGTTACTAGTTATACTTCAAGATAGATTTGGGACATTGCAGTTTATTGCATATTTAATATTACTATTAAATGTTTCCATGACTGAAAGACATTTTACATTAAAATATTTTTAAAAGTCATATTTCATTTTCAAACTGTCAGAACAAAACAAGCAAAATGATGGAATACTTCAAAGAAGATAAACTATAGCTCCCATTTCTAAAAGAGTCAGGATGGGAGCTCTACAAGAGGAACCAATTAATTTTTGGAGCAACCTAATTCAAAAAAAAATGCAACTACTGTAAAATGTGCAGTGATGTTTCTCTTCCATTTATTAAAGAGAAAGTCCTGTGAAATGAGATTTATACTCTTGAGCTATGAGTGAAGAAAGGGGGTGAGAGCAGAGGAATATCTGAGTCTACACCAACCATAATGATCCAGCCTGACCTCTGATATTAGATCAGTATGTGATCCTAAAAATGCTAAAATACACTGTGCTCATTTTTTAATGGAGGTATTTTTGAATGCCACATATTACAGCAGAAAAAGGGAAAATGAATGATGTTTTATACATATATATATATATATATATATACACACACACACACAGATATATACTTGGCTCTTAATGAAATATAAATGATTAAATTTACCTAATTTGTTTTTTGTTCTGTTTTCATGAATTTGATCACTTCTTGCAGCAATTAATTTACTTGCAAAACCTTCTCTTGTGATATTTTAATCCAAGCTCTTGTTGTGTGCAATGAACTCCTATTGAAATTCCAATAACAGATTGTAATTTTAAAATTGTATCAATACTCAAAACACAGGGAGTCCATCTCTGCCTTAAACGCATAGCCAGAGTAGCTGTGTGTGACTCCAGCAGGTAATTATACAGTCCACAGGACTTCTGGTTTCTGGTCCAGCATCTAAGGAGCCTGGAAGTTGTCACTCTTGATAACAAGTCAAAGAAGTGGGGTCACAGGGCAAACCACTGCTTCAAAAACTGGAAAGACAGACAGGAGGATACAGAGAATCACAATTACCAGAGCAGAAACCTTCACAGGAACAGGTCCCGGAGTAGGGAAACTCGAACTACAGTTGAAAAATTGCTGGAGGTTCGGTGTGGACAAGTCAGAGAGAGAAAAACTCCAGGGGGACTCAGTCAGAGGGGCGCCCCACACTTTTGTGAGTTTTACCTCCAGGAGATGGACCAGGTTCTTACGGTGACTATCAGAGAAAAAAAAAAAACCCTGTGCTTCTGGCTTGGGAGAAGGGGGAGGACTGATTTAGAAACATGCCAGAGCATTGTGTTCTTAACAAGAAGTTTTCTCTCTTTCTCTGTCCTCAAGAGAAACTATTTAAGGTGCCTAAAAGAGTGGAGTTTTATCAGAGCCTAACTGACCTGGGAGAAGGGAAATACCCAACTCCAGCCCACTCGAGGCATCACGTCCCACCTAAGGACATGGGGACACTGGATATCAACACACTGCTTCTAGTGTTTATATGGAAAGGCAAAAGATCCGAAATAGACAACACAATATTGAAGGAGAACAGAGTTGGAGGACTGACAAGACCTGACTTCAGACTCACTACATTAAAGCTACGGGTGATCAAGACAGGGTGGTATTGGTGAAAGAATAGACAAATAGATTAATGGAACAGAAGAGAAAGCCCGGAAATAGACCCATATAAAGAGAGTCCACTGATGTTTGACAAAGGAGGAAAGGCACTACATTGGAGCAAAGGTAGTCTTTTCAACAAATGGTGCTAGAAGAGCTTGGCATCCTTGTGCAAAATAATAATAATAATAATAATAACAATAAAATAAATCTAAACACAGACCTTACACTCCTCACAAAAATTACCTCAAAAGGAAACTCCTATAACATAGGAAAAAAGCATAAGTGACTTCGGCTTTTATGACAAGGACTTTTAAAAAATTTTTTTTTTCAACGTTTATTTATTTTTGGGACAAAGAGAGGCAGAGCATGAACGGGGGAGGGGCAGAGAGAGAGGGAGACACAGAATCGGAAACAGGCTCCAGGCTCTGAGCCATCAGCCCAGAGCCCGACGCGGGGCTCGAACTCACGGACCGCGAGATCGTGACCTGGCTGAAGTCGGACGCTTAACCGAGTGCGCCACCCAGGCGCCCCAAGGACTTTTTAAAGATAATACCGAAGACGGGATCTATGAAAGAAATAATTGATAAACTAAGCTGCATAAAATAAACACTTCTGCTCTGCAAAAACTCTGTTAAGAGAATGAGAAGACAAGCCACAGATTGGGATAAAATATTTACAAAAGACGTATCTAATAAGAGATTGGTATCCAGAATATACAAAGAGCTCTTAAAACTCAACAATAAGAAAATGAACAACTCAGTTCAAGAATGGTCAAAGGACCTGAAAAGATACTCACCAAAGAAGATAAACAGATGGCAATGAGGCGTATGAAAAACTGCTTAAAATATGTCATTGGGAAAATGCAGATTAAAACCACAACGAGATACCACCGTATACCCATTGGAGTGACAAAATCCTAACACCACAAAATGCTGGCGAGGGTACAGAGCAAGTAGAACTCTGGGTCATTGCTGATGGGAATGTCAAATGGTACAGCCACTTTAGAAGACAGTTTGGCAGTTTTTTTACAAATCTATAATATATTCTTGGTAAATATATACATGGTAAATATACTCTTACCATACAATCCAGCAATCACACTCCTCAATATTTACCCAGATGAGTTGAACACTTATGTCCACACAAAACCTGAAAGTGAATACTTATAGAAGCTTTATGAGTAGTTTCTAAAGCTTGGAAGTAACCAAAATGTTTTTCAGCAGGTGAATGAATAAACTGTGGCCCATCCAAACAATGGAATATTACTCAGCAGTAAAAGAAATGAGTTATCAAGCCATGAAAGGACATGGAAGAAACTTCCTAAGTTAAAGAAGTCAATCTGAAAAGATCACAACACTGTACGATTCCAATTATGTGACCTTCTGGAAAAGACAAAACTATGGAGACAGTAAACAGCTAAGTGGTTGCCAGGGGCTGAGGGGAGCTGGGGGGAAAGATAAACAGGCAAGACACGGAGAATTTTTAGGGAAGTAAAAACAGTGAATATCCTACTAGAACGATGGATACATTTCATTACACCTTTGTCATCACCTATAGAGTATATAACACCAAGGATGAACCGGAAGGCAAGCTATAGACTTTGGATGATAATGATGTGTCAACGTAGGTTCATCAATGGTAACAAATGTACCACTTGATAAACAGCTATTGATAGTGGAGGAGGCTGCCTGTATGTGGGGACAGGGAGTGTGGGAGGTCTCTGATCCGCTCAATTTTGTGACGAACCTAGAACACCTCCAAAAATAGTCTATTTTTTAAAAGTCCTGTTCTGACAAACGCATTGCTTTCTTAAAAATAAATAAATAAAAAGCCCATAGTGAGCCCTTTGCCCCTTTCTCTCTTCCACGGTTTAATAAATGCTTGTTAAGTATGTGATATTCCTTTCCTGGAGCCGCCTTAACTAAGTACCACGAGTTGGGGGGTGTAAACAACACATATTTATTGTCTCAGTTCTGGAAGCTAGAAAGCCACCGTCAGAGTATAGGTAAGAGTTGATTCCTTCTGAGGGCTCTGAGACTTTGTTCCACGCCTCCCACCTAGCTTCTGGAGTTCCTGATCTCTGTTTTGTGTTCACGTGGCTTTTGCCATATGTATGTATCCCTGCCTCCAAATTTCCCCTTGCTGTAAGGACACGAGTCATATTGGTTTAGGGGCCCATACTACCTACTCATCTGCAATGCCCCTATTTCCAAATACAGTCACATTCCAAGGTACTCGTCATGAGGACTTTCACATCGGGATCTGGGGGAGCCACAGTTCGGCCCACGGTACATGTCCCTGTACACAGCACCGCGTCAGGCTCTGTCGGGGATCCCAAATAGGATCAGGCTTCCTGCCCCGGAGAACGCGGCACGACGGACACACGAACATTAGCAATTGCACAGGTATCACAGCAAAGCCCGGGATTCAGGGCAAAACGAAAAGTTTTGCGGCTGCTCCTGCTGCTGCCAGTGGTGGTATGACTTTAAAGGAAGGCATTAGGGACCGCTTACAGGTTGGGCTGGACCACTTATGGGTGGGGAGCTGAAGGGAAAGTCTCATAGAAGCAGCCAGGATTCAGGATTAAGCAGGGAAAGTTCTGATGTCAGGAAGAGGGAAAAGGGTGAGAAGATTTCCGCTACAGCTCTTGGTAGGGCCTGTCCCTCCAGAGCCCGCGGGGAGCTGGATATCAGGCACAGTCGGGGGCTTCTCCGGGGCAGCAGTGAGCAGGTGACAAAGTCAGAAAGCCAGGGGGAGGGGGAGCCCAAACTGCAAAGAACCTGGAATGAGTGTGGGCTCTGGGGGCAGCGGGACCACTGAGGTTTGGGAAGTGATTTGAGAAAGGTGTTCCTGGCAGAAGTGTGGGCTTCCCAGGAGAGGAAAGTCATTCACTCCGTAAACAGGTCTGGAGCACACAGTCTCTGCACGAGAGGAGCGAACAGAGAACAAGCATCCTTCCTGAAGCAAAAGATCACACGCGACGAAAACGCCCATTTGCACGGAGGTAAGGCTGGTACCTGCCTGAGGTTGTTCTGTCAGCACGCTGGTCAGCGGGCCCGCTTTGATCCGGTTGTGTTTTTGTTTCCCTGAGAGCCACGTGCTGGAGTTTTCTGCGTGAAGAACCCTTGCAACCCGCGCACCTCCTCACTTCTCAGCCCATTGCACCTGTCACACTCAGCGGGCCACAAAGGCAGCACTAATACACCCAAACTCACGCTCCAGAGAGGGACCGGGTGGCAAGAAACGGCAGCTCTGTGCGAATCATGACCGCGTCCCCACTCATCAGAGAGGCAGGCTCTCAGGCAGGAAAACCAAACGTAATTAAGTAAAACTGTATTACTCAAATTCGCAATTACATAAATCAGTGATCTTTCCCTCAATACGATACCGTCCGCTGTAGAACACCTAGATTTATAGGTGTTCGGATTGATTGAGTCAGCTATCATCCGTGTTACATCAGCAGGTTCTGTATCACTTGGTGTCAGCAAAAAAAAAAAAAAAAAAAAAAAAAAAAAAAGACAGTGACTTTTACATTCAAGATGAAATCACATTGTATTTTCAAAGCACATGTTATCTCAAAAAATTATGCTTAGGCAGGATTTTTCACATAAATAATTCTCTACTGGGCAATCTATCAGAGGCTGTTTTTTTCTTTCTCCATCTTTTTTTAAAGTTGGCTTAGTATGTTTTAAAAAAAAAGACAAATAAAAGGATAAACCTTGAAAGCTCATCTCTAATAGCACGCTTGGTAAAAAAAAAAAAAATAGCTGAGAACTTTTTTCAGAAATATAATATTCTTTCTTTTTTTATTTTTTGAAACGTTTATTTATTTATTTTTGAGAGAGAGAGAGAGATAGCACGAGTGGGAGAGGGGCAGACAGAGAGGGAGAGAGAGAGAATCCCAAGCAGACTCTGCACTCTCAGCACAGAGCCCGATGTGGGGCTCGAACTCATGAACCATGAGAGCCTGACCTGAGCCGAAATCAGGAGTTGGACACTTAACCAATGAGCCACCCAGATGCCCCACTTTTTTGTTTTTAAATGAAAACATGTCTGCACAAAGATTGGCACATGAATGTTTATTTTTTTGTTTGTTTTTAAGGTTTATTTTTGAGAGAGAGAGAAATTGCAACAGCAGGGGAGGGGCACAGAGAGAAGGAGAGAGAGAATCCCAGGCGGGCTCCATACTGCCAACACGGAGTCTGACGTGGGGCCGGAACCCACGAACCACAAGATCATGACCCGAGCCGAAATCGAGAGTTGGGCACTTACCCGACTGAGACACCCAGACACCCCCTTTCTTAAATAATTATACCTCATCATCCGGGTTCTTGACTCAACAGAGAAATTTTCACCTTCACCTTTTCTTATTTTGCATTAGCTATGGTTGTATATGTGAATTTGTGTTTGCGGAGTGCTACAAACTATCCGTGAACTGAATCACCCTTTCGTTTCCTCTTGACATTTTTGGAGATTTGGGGTTAATAGAGATCTTCATCGGTGCAGAGTTTAACTACGTTAAAAAATAAAACGCATCACCTTTGTTTCGGTGTACTTATCAAAGCAATATGAGAGCGCTACAGAAAAGTTACACAATAGAAAACCTCCTATTGATTTCTACCCTCTAACACGCTTAACTCGATTTAAAAAACTTCTTTCCAGGATTTCCCCACATGTAAACACTTTATTGTAATTACGGTAATTATAAAATTTGGCATCCAGCTTTTTTTCCAAGTCATGAGAGATTGAGCGGCAGTGTTCATTCTCCCTAATGCTTGGCCAAAGTCAAACGGAGAGAATGGAAGCCTTGGCCTTTGAGCGTGAAGCATGGTGGCTTCAGCATCTCCTTGGGGAGAAAGCTGCCTGGTCAGACCAAGAGGAGCGCAGCGGAATGGAAAATCAACCCTGAAAGAGCAGCATGGGGCCAGACTGGGGAATGGGGGGAAAGAACAGAGAGGGGGTGTATGCTGGTCGCAATAAGACACGCGAAGCCACTGTTATGGCCAAGAGGATGCGCTGAAGAAGCCCAGCTGCGGAAAGCCCAGAGAAGTCACTGAATAAGGGGAGCTGGACGAGAGAGTGGCCATGCGGAACCACGCCAGGCACGACGTGTCCACCTTAGGCTAAGGTCACAGACATGGGGATGCTGAAGAAATGTGGCTTCGATACGTTGGAAGTTATGAAGTGACAAGACTGGCCAAAACACTCCTTTTAAAGGCTGAAGAAAAATGCCACCCAAGGTCGCACGTGCCCTCCCTCTTCACCACAGGAACCCTGCTCCTGCCCATTTTCCCTGTGAACCCCCTCTACAGCCCTTCCCCCAGAAAGGATAAGCCTCTAATCATCACACTGCTAGAGTCGCCGGAGGTATTGATTTGAACGGGCCACATGCGCTGGCGGGTGGGGTTGCTGTGCCTCTGAAGGAGGCAATGTTCTTTCTAAAACTTCACTCTTCTTAAGCTCTGCCCCAGCCCCGGCCCCTTCCAGGGCCCGTCTGGCTGGGGGCAAAAGTGGACTTGGGCCCTCCAGGGCTTCAGCCTCTCTGTCTTTGTCCCACTGTGGGCACACGGGAGTGTCTGGTCCCCAGGACTAGACCCCGAGGAGTGGGAACCAGGGAAGGGCAGAGCAGGGAGAGTAAGAGAGAGGAAGACCCCACTTAGCCTCCAGCCTGAGGACCCACCAGACTGTATTAGAGGCCAGGAGCTTGTCCTGCTAATACTGCTGAACTTCACTTCCCATCCAGGTATTATCCCATATCTGTATCTCTACCTTAGGAACCCCAAAGGGCAGAGGAGGGACGGTTAGACAGACCCGGGTGTCCAGTAGTGATTCAGCCATGACACCCAATGCGCCATGACATCCATCTGGTCTCCTATCAGCTTCTAGCTGCTGAATCTGGGCAGCCCACAGATGGTCTCCTTGTTACGTAACACATCTTTAAAAACAGAGTCAACATTTAAAATTAGGAGCTTCCACACAAATCTAGACATACTGGACCCAGATTCACAGGTGGCAATATTTGGTTGGGGCAGAGCGGGGCTGGGGGCTGTTTCCCCCTCAAGGGGTCCCACCTCCAACCTCTCCTGCTACCAAGACCGGAGAGAGTTGCCTTTTATTTTCATGTTCTGGCCAATGGTTTTCTTACGGAAGCTAAGATATGGATGTATTTCTGGTACCAGTATCTCTAGAAAAAGTGAAAAATATGAAAGATTGACTAAGAGAGCCTATGTTTCAAGAAAAATAAAGATATGATAAAAGATGTGATGTGTTTTAATACAATAAAAAAAACACCCTTCCCTCATTTAATTTTCTCCCTTGTTTATTGAGGCATTAGGATGAGGTGATATCACTTTTAATATAATATGAACAAGTGATCTTTTTTAATAGAAATTAAAACAGTTTGTGTTGTTCATGTCTGCACAATAAAGAGGACTCCAAAAAAAAGGTTGGGCCAAACAATGACTATCATTATTATTATTATTATTATTATTATTATTATTATATAATTATTATATAATTATTATATAATATATAATATATATTATTATATTATTATTATTATTATATTACTATTACTAATATTATTTTATTGAGCACTATTTTACTCACGGCTCCTTCTAGAAGCTCTTATATATAAATATCATCTAAACTTTTGAGGTACTGCCCCCTATACTAGTAAAAGAATAGACCAATCACAAAATCAATCAGCAGTGAGCTAGGATTTAAGCCCAGGGCTACTTGGGCCCGAGCCCAAACTCTTTCCCGCATGACACTGCCCTGCTTTAATGCGCAGGGCAGAGCCACGACTGGAAAAGCATCATCACAATATTTCTGTCCATTGTTTCAAAGCTTTATATTTTGTTGTACAAAACCACAATGTGGGTCAAAACCTGAATATTGTAGAACATAACTAGGATGGTGAGGATAATTACTAGTTTCTTACTAGTATACTAGTATACTTTGCCAATCACGTGGCAAGTAGTGAAAAGGTATGTTACCAATGCCTATTTTCAATGGGGTATTAGGATCCTAAATCCTGACTAGCCCAGGCATCTTCAAACTGTGTTCCTTGGAACCCTAAACATTCCTCCGAGGAATTTCAGGGTCATTCACCCTCATCCTGCAGCCAGAGCTGCCCCCGTCCCCCATCACCTATGGAGTGCTCATGCGTCCTAGTAAACGGAAGTAAGAAAACCTTTGACAGCTACAATAAGTTTTCAAAACACCGCGCTGGTCCAATCTCTTTCTTTTTCAAAGGGCAAGAACAGGAGATTGTAGAGATGTGAATTGACTTCCCTCAAATCACACACAGCTACTAGAGTCAGCATCAGATCTAAAAGTCTAGGAGGGTGTTGTTGTGTTTAAGGCGAATGCTCTTGGGTCCAAGGTTATAACAGGAACCCTTAGAAGTGCAAAGTGCTGGTGACATTGCTATTCCGCACTGCGCCATTCCATGCAGTTTTGCTGGTTAAACGCCTCTCTCCCCAGTGTTACGCTTGATTACTTGTGTGGAGGCTCTGGAAGTTGAAAGATACAGCTCATTATTTTCTACGAATGTCAAGGTTCTTTTGCTGTGCTCAATTGTTTTTACTTTGACTCCTCTCTGAATTCTAAATAACGCTCATTCCTTTCTAAATATACACTAGCCTTCATTGTCCATAAAATTTAGTGAGACTTATAGGAGAAGGGTGCTTTCCACTAAAAGTAGCATTCCATGAACAATTAGGTAGTAAAAAGTAACTTGGAATTTAACCAGACAGATGAGATAGATGGGTATAAATATCAATATGGAGAGAGAGAGAAATGGAACAAAATATCAATATAAATTAAAGAACAGGAAAATATCAAATGTGAGTGCAATTGGAATGAGATACTTCATGATGCTTAAATGTTATTATTACTTATCACCATAATGAGTACTATGCAAAATGTAATAGTAATTTTGATCAAAGTCAAACACGCCATTTAGTGATGCTACACACGCATATAACGGTGTCTTTTTGAGTTGGCGAAACAGCAGTAATTTTCACAACTTTGAGGTTGGCTCAGAGCCATAGTATCACAAGGATTAATGGCTTCCAGTCTGGTGATTCAAAAGCCCAAAATGCTCATGGTCCTACCGGAGACTTGCTTCACTGTTATTGCTTCCCGCGCTTCTAATGAAATTAAGTTTCTTCTTTCACTGAAGCATTTTATCAAAGCGCTTTCCACCTTTCGCCTGGTGGTCCGTCAGATAAACATACCCTCCAAAACAACCATATCGTATGACATAAATAAAGCACGTGGCTCAGGATCTACCCTCACCAAGCTACTAGTTTTCAGCCATATTTCTAAACAACGCCAGGATGCCATCGCAACTACAAGTTGAGTCCATCAAATACCTGATTCCTCTGCCCTACTGAAGCAGCTGTTGAACTAAGATGG